TCTCCCCTCCTCTATCCTCTCCTCTCCCCTCCTCTATCCTCTCCTCTCCCCTCCTCTATTCTCTCCCCTCCTCTATTCTCTCTCCTCTCCTCTATTCTCTCCTCTCCTCTATTCTCACCCCTCCTCTATTCTCTCTCCTCTCCTCTATTCTCTCCCCTCCTCTATTCTCTCTCCTCTCCTCTATTCTCTCTCCTCTCCATTCCTTTTCCTCTCCATTCTCTCTCCTCTCCCCTCCTCTATTCTCTCTCCTCTCCCCTCCTCTATTCTCTCTCCTCTCCCATCATATCAGGGACCAAAGTCATCAGGTTTTCATGGCAGAGCTGTGATGAGTGACACGTGAGATGTATTGTGCTCGGTTGTCATATAGCTGTCAGTGTGACATGTAGGAGAGGAGAGGTCACAGAGGTGGCGGAGGACTGACCTCCATTAGTCCTCCCATAACCTATACAGAGAGAAGGGAGAGTGCCGGCCGTCCTCCTCACCAGATGCGGCCGGGGCTGAGGAGGAATGGAAGGCCCGTATGTCCTTAATGAGCATATTAGTAAGCGAGCATCACACACAACCACTTCCTGCCGGACACTTAACTGGATTACAGACGAATTCCCTCCATTAATATCAAATGGTTTCCGTGTTTCCTTTCCAAGTAATTATCAGACCGGATTGTGGGAACTTAAAGTGGACCTGTCATCAGATATGTTTTCTCATGTTAAGTGTAGCATGCTCAGTATTGTGCCAGTGTGACCCCTCCAGGTATTTATTACTTCTCACAGAGATCACAGGACTCCCCCTGACAATCTGCTTTTCTCTCCAGATGGACAGCACCATCTTTGTTCAGGCATCATCCAGGGTCACCACCTACTTCTCGGACTGAGATGCCGGCTCAGAGATGACACAATCATCTCAATCCTGGTCCCTACGCAGATCTGGGCTGTGTTCACAAATGTCTAACACAAATCAGCCCCTCTTGCCATGTGACTTGCCACAATGTTGCAGTCTGATCACTGGGAGAGAAGAGACTGAGGAAATGCCTCCTCCTGCCTGCAGCTGACTGATCACTGGGGGAGGGGAGACCAAGGAAATACTTCCTCCTGCCTGCAGCAGTCTGATTACTGGGGGAGGGGAGACTGAGGAAATGCTTCCTCCTGCCTGAAGCAGTCTGATCGCTGGGAGAGGGGAGACTGAGGAAATGCTTCCTCCTGCCTTCCTCTCTTGTGCAGGGCGCAAAGCTGTGGGAGGGGGACCAGCAGACCCCACCCACTACAGGAAACTATAGGAGGGGGCGGAGACAAGACCAGTCACCTTGCACAAGCAGAGGAAGCAACACTGACCAGTTTCTTTTACAGGAAGCTCAACCCACTACAGGAAACTACAGGAGGGGGTGGAACTCCTCTATTCTCTCTCCTCTCCCATCATATCAGGGACCAAAGTCATCAGGTTTTCATGGCAGAGCTGTGATGAGTGACACGTGAGATGTATTGTGCTCGGTTGTCATATAGCTGTCAGTGTGACATGTAGGAGAGGAGAGGTCACAGAGGTGGCGGAGGACTGACCTCCATTAGTCCTCCCATAACCTATACAGAGAGAAGGGAGAGTGCCGGCCGTCCTCCTCACCAGATGCGGCCGGGGCTGAGGAGGAATGGAAGGCCCGTATGTCCTTAATGAGCATATTAGTAAGCGAGCATCACACACAACCACTTCCTGCCGGACACTTAACTGGATTACAGACGAATTCCCTCCATTAATATCAAATGGTTTCCGTGTTTCCTTTCCAAGTAATTATCAGACCGGATTGTGGGAACTTAAAGTGGACCTGTCATCAGATATGTTTTCTCATGTTAAGTGTAGCATGCTCAGTATTGTGCCAGTGTGACCCCTCCAGGTATTTATTACTTCTCACAGAGATCACAGGACTCCCCCTGACAATCTGCTTTTCTCTCCAGATGGACAGCACCATCTTTGTTCAGGCATCATCCAGGGTCACCACCTACTTCTCGGACTGAGATGCCGGCTCAGAGATGACACAATCATCTCAATCCTGGTCCCTACGCAGATCTGGGCTGTGTTCACAAATGTCTAACACAAATCAGCCCCTCTTGCCATGTGACTTGCCACAATGTTGCAGTCTGATCACTGGGAGAGAAGAGACTGAGGAAATGCCTCCTCCTGCCTGCAGCTGACTGATCACTGGGGGAGGGGAGACCAAGGAAATACTTCCTCCTGCCTGCAGCAGTCTGATTACTGGGGGAGGGGAGACTGAGGAAATGCTTCCTCCTGCCTGAAGCAGTCTGATCGCTGGGAGAGGGGAGACTGAGGAAATGCTTCCTCCTGCCTTCCTCTCTTGTGCAGGGCGCAAAGCTGTGGGAGGGGGACCAGCAGACCCCACCCACTACAGGAAACTATAGGAGGGGGCGGAGACAAGACCAGTCACCTTGCACAAGCAGAGGAAGCAACACTGACCAGTTTCTTTTACAGGAAGCTCAACCCACTACAGGAAACTACAGGAGGGGGTGGAGACCAGACCAGTCACCCTACACAAGGAAAGAGAGAGCAGCAGTGATCGGTCTATATTACAGGAAGGGGCGGAGACAAGACCAGTCACCCTACACAAAGAGAGAGAGCAGCAGTGAGCGGTCTTTATTACAGGAGGGGGCGGAGACAAGACCAGTCACCCTGCACAAAGAGAGAGAGCAGCAGTGAGCGGTCTTTATTACAGGAGGGGGCGGAGACAAGACCAGTCACCCTCACACTGGATTACTGCACAGATCTGGAAGAAATACACAAAAGTTTCCAGGAATAACACACATGGCTCTTGTATGAGGACAACATTTTTTGGTCTCGGAGTTTAAAGCAAACATCTCACCAGCACCTGCGGGCGATATTCCAGCTTTTTTTTTTCCACATTTCATAACTCAGAATCTCTGCTTCTAGATGACATATTCATCCCTTTAAGTCATTGTTCATAATCCTGACGTGTCCTACACGCAGAGACTGATATCCGCGACATATGGCGTTCAGAGGAGGAGCCTAATTTCACCAATGTGACCTTTGCAGTTTTTCGGCAAATCTGCAGAAGTGATTATTTACAGCAACATTGACCCCCGAAGAGATATTGTGCGGAAACATTACTGAAAGGGGGTCGGGCTACGTACAGCCCAACACTCAGAAACTGAAACCTGTGAAAGCCCAAATACCCAAAAAGTTGTATTTTGTATTATTATTCATTTATTTTATTATTTTTTTATTTGGATACAACAAGTCAGAGCCGTCCGGGTCCGTATTGGAATTCTCCTCCTTCACTTCCGCTGTCTGGGACTTGCCGGGACAGTCCCACATCTTAATCCCCTGTGCCTCTAATGCCCTGTCTGGGGGCCACGTCCCGGGATCACGGCATCAACCTATTGCACAATAACTCAAAAAGCCACTCAATGCGGGGATTGGGACCCTGAGGGGGCGGTCCCCACATATATAGAGGCGGAGTCGGGGCAAGAGCAACTCATAAAGTAGTTGTGATTTGGGCGCGCCCAACTGGAAAGGAATGAAAAGACAAAATGCAGACTGTGGGTGGGGCTAACAATATCCCATTATCCGGTGCTCTATCGAAAGCTCCAACTCATTGAGCTCTCCAACTACCTCGCTTCCAGTGCTCAGAAAGACTGGAGCTCCGTACAGTTGCGGTGCGCATGCGCGCATAGCGTTTCCAGCATACCTCGTCGAGTTTGCCACCTGCTGAATATTGTTAAAATGCAGCTGCACAGAAGCTCCGTCAGTCTTTGTGTTTTGCAGTCTAACGCTGTCTGGTCGCAAATCTCCAACTTGCAAATACCCGGCAGTGAGGTAGTTGGAGATTTCGACGAGTTGGAGCTTTTGATAGAACACCGGGACCATAAGGTTGGAATGTATGACTTCCTGTCCCTGTGACACCAGAACAATAAATGTGACAGCGGTTGTCACAGGGGCAAGGAAAATTGTAGGCTTGCACTGACACATTATTATTGTTATTAATATTATACAGGATTTATATGGCGCCGAGAGTGTGCGCAGCGCTTTACAATATTGAGGAAGACAGTAACAGTTACTATATAATTCAAGACAAGATGGTTAGGAGGACACAGAACTTAGCATGTATTCTTTTAAAATAATTATGCCGGCCAAGACACTATCTGCATGGAGTTTACATGTTCTCCCTGTGCTTGCGTGGGTTTCCTCCCACACTCCAAAGACATGCTGGAAGATAATTGGCTCCTCTCTAAATTGGCCCTCTATGTATGCATGTGAGATCGGGACCTTAGATTGTAAGCTCCTTGAGGGTAGGGACTGATGTGAATGTGCAACTACGTAAAGCGCTGTGTAAAATTGTCGGCGCTATATAAATACCTGTAATAAAAATACAATTATATATATATATTGTAACAAGGACACTCCACTGTAGACCGGAGGTGCAAGTACAATGCAGTTTATTTGCTTTCAAAACGGTAGATAACATGAAATCCAACATAAATAGCTCGCTGTAGCATATAACAGATAAGGGCTCACCAATCCTCGAGTTGTCACGTACACTCAAGGTGTCCCAGTCTTTTCATAAGTCTCTCTTGCAGCACTGCTGCTCCGGCCTCAATAATAAAAATTAATAAAATGACAAGAAGGAGAATTCGTAGAACATGCGGAATTGTGCGTTGCTCTCCTCCATTATATCACATGTACGTGGTTGGGTGGGGGGAGGGGAGAATGTGGATTTGTATCTCGGACGGGTTTATTAATCACGCTTATTATTTGAGATTGGTTGCCGGGCAGAAGATTTTCCATTTCCTGTTTATATTCCACGTTTTATCTCTTTCATTATCTCTGTGGTTATATTGCGCGGTCGGGAGAATATCTCCGGGTTCTATCTCCTGATTTCCGCTCTGCAACAATGTATGAAAGAGTGAAGGTGATGGAGGGAGCGAAGGGCAGAGACGCCGCCACTGATACATTGTAACTGGGGATTCTCTCTTCTCTTGCAGTGAATGCGATCTCCCCGGGATGGGTGGACACGACGTTCCCCTTCACTGGTGAGAAATTGTGTTTTATTGTCTTTTTCTTTTCTCTCTCTCGTTATTATTACAAGAAAAACAGAAATAACAAAACAGAGCACTTCCTGTGTCTGGGCACATCTGATATCAGATCACTTCCTGTGTCTGGGCACATCTGATATCAGAGCACTTCCTGTGTCTAGGCACATCTGATATCAGAGCACTTCCTGTGTCTGGGCACATCTGATTTCTGAGCACTTCCTGCATCTAGGCACATCTGATATCAGAGCACTTCCTGTGTCTAGGCACATCTGATATCAGAGCACTTCCTGCGTCTGGGCACATCTGATTTCAGAGCACTTCCTGCGTCTAGGCACATCTGATATCAGAGCACTTCCTGTGTCTAGGCACATCTGATATCAGAGCACTTCCTGTGCCAAGACACATCTGATATCGGAGCACTTCCTGTGCCTAGGAACATCTGATATCAGAGTGCTTCCTGTGTCTAGGCACATGTGATATCAGGGCACTTCCTGTGCCGAGGCACATCTGATATCAGCACTTCCTGTGCCTAGGCTCTCCTGTGAGCCTCATAGCTGTCTATCTGTAGTGTGAGATCTAAGGCACTGCTGTCTCTGTCTGTTGTGCTGCTGAGCACTTTCTGAGTGAGGTAACGTTGTCACATTGTGTCTTCTTGGCAGCTGCCTGCAGCGGTAAACTGGAACAGCACACTGAGAGGAGAGGGGTGATCTACAGTCCAGCCTGGCCCCTGAACTACCCCTCTACCATGAACTGCAGCTGGTACATCCAGGGAGATCACGGGGACGTCATCACAATAAGGTAACAAATCACAAAGCAAATTAAACGCCATTTCATTTATTATTGGAATATGTCACTGTTATATCTGACCTCCGACCTCCCCTTCAGTCTTCTATCTGACCTCCGACCTCCCCTTCAGTCTTCTATCTGACCTCCGTCTTCCCCTTCAGTCTTCTATCTGACCTCCGTCCTTCCCTTCAGTCTTGTATCTGACCTCCGTCCTTCCCTTCAGTCTTCTATGTGACCTCCGTCCTTCCCTTCAGTCTTCTATCTGACCTCCGTCCTTCCCTTCAGTCTACTATGTGACCTCCGTCCTTCCCTTCAGTCTACTATGTGACCTCCGCCCTTCCCTTCAGTCTTCTACCTGACCTACGTCCTTCCCTTCAGTCTGACCTCTGACCATGGTCCTTCCCTTCAGTCTGACCTCGGTCCTTCCCTTCAGTCTGACCTCTGACCTCCATCCTTCCCTTCGGTCTGACCTCCGTCCTTCCCCTCAGTCTGACCTGTGACCGCTGTCTTTAACTTCAGTCTGAACTCTGTCCTTCCCTTCTGTCTGACCTCTGTCATTCCCTTCAGTCTGACCTCTGTCCTTCCCTTCAGTCCTATATCTGACCTCTGGCCTCCCCTTCAGTCTTCTATCTGACCTCCGGCCTCCCCTTCAGTCTTCTATCTGACCTCCGTCCTCCCCTTCAGTCTTCTATCTGACCTCCGTCCCCCCCTTCAGTCTTCTATCTGACCTCCGTCCTACCCCTTCAGTCTTCTATCTGACCTCCGTCCTTCCCTTCAGTCTTGCACAGTTGTACCGGCTCCTCTTCCTCTGATGTCACTGCACACTGGGAGCTTCTCACAATGTGCATTAGAAGCTGCAGCAAGTCAGATAGAGCCACCCCTCATTTCCTGGCTGGAAGATGTCCAGCATCAGCCCCTCCCCTTTTATTGGATTGGAGGCTCAGCATCACATGTGGGCAAATGCAGCCTGCCTGGGAACGCCCACTCCTCCAGACTGACACCCGCCCAGAAAGGCATTTAAATATTTGCATAACTCCTCCCAGGAGCCAGCCCACTACTTGCATCACAGCTCTTGTCAGTAGACGCAGGAAAATTACTATGGGAGATATAGTAGGGCAGAGGAGTCGCAAGGCTCTCTGCAGCTCAGGTGACATCTATTCCTCCAATGGGTGGAGCTGACCTCTCGTTTTGTTGACTACAGCTATAATTTTTTGATATCATTTTTATACAAAATCATATTTTTGTGCTCCGCAGCTTCAAGAATTTCGACCTTCAGGACTCTCACAAGTGCTCCGTGGACTGGCTCCTGATTGGCCCGTCTTCGAAACGGGAGGAGTACAAAGTGTGCGGCTCCACCATGCCTCCGCCCTTCACCTCCTCCCGGGACCACGTCTGGATCTTCTTCCACTCGGACGCCTCCAGCTCCGGCCAGTCTCAGGGGTTCCGGCTGTCCTACATCCGGGGTAAGAGAGAGCGACGGGCGACCAATCAGGTTGCAGCCGGTTTGCCCCGTTAGAGAGTGACCTTTGCACCTGCCGGGCAACCTGCTGACCCTCTGGGCTGAAACTATATGCAGGAGGTGCCCGCCGGTGCAAAGCGGCGAGATTTTGCTCGCATCGACGCGCTTCGCTATTACGGAGCCTGGGATTAATTCTCCCCCATGTAGTAGGTGGAGTTTCCAGTAATAAAGACCGGTCACTGCTGCTCTCTCTACTTGTGCAGGGTGACTGGTCTTGTCTCCGCCCCCTCCTGTTGTTTCCTTTAGAGGGTGGAGCTTCCTGTAGTAAAGACCTATCACTGCTGCTCTCTCTACTTGTGCAGGGTGACTGGTCTTGTCTCCGCCCCCTCCTATAATAAAGACCTGTCGCTGCTGCTCTCTCTACTTGTGCATGGTGACTGGTCTTGTCTCCGCCCCCTCCTGTAATAAAGACCGCTCACTGCTGCTCTCTCTCTCTTCTTGTGCAGGGCGACTGGTCTTGTCTCCGCCCCCTCCTGTAGTTTCCTTTAGCGGGTGGAGCTTCCTGTAATAAAGACCTGTCACTGCTGCTCTCTCTGCCTGTGCAGGGTAACTGGTCTTGTTTACGCCCCCCTTCCTGTAGTGGGTGTGGCCTGCCGGGCCCTCCCACAGCTCTTCTCCCTGCACTGACTATGTACAGCACAGTGATGATGTCACTGCTGCTTTACATTGTAACAACTGGCTTTGGTAGACACAAAGTGTATTTATACCCGTTGTGACTATCGGGGGGAATATATTTATATGAAGTCTTTGTGTCCGGAGTTCAGCAATCACAGAGGCGGGAAGTTTCCGTGCGATGCGATAAGTCGGATCAGAATATGGATTTCGGGTTGACGATGTAACAATATCCAGAATGAGCTCTGGCATGGAATCCTCCGCGGCTCCTCTGATGGCGGAATAATAAGTCAGACGCACTTCTCGCCGTTCTCCTAATTGACTCCATGAGAGGCGTCCTTGTGATGAGAGAATTAAAAAAACATCGGCCTCCATCCGCCGCACTTACGGCCTTCGCTGGGACTTTGTTCCTGTTAATGTCCATTTCTCCTCCAATGGCAGCAGAGCTGATGGTGCTGAACCTTGAGGAGAAGATCTGAGCGGAACATCTAAAGTGCAATCTGATAGAACATGGAGTACAGCCGGCAATTACCGGAGCTCGGGCCCATTATATCTTTGCAGAAAACATTTAAAGCCGAAGTTTCATCAATAAGATAACTGAAACATTTCCATTGTTGTTACGTTCCTATTATTGTACCCGGTGATGTCATCGTTGGGTCCCTGCGCTCCTTTGTGCAATGCAGGCAGATCACGGTTGGTGGGAGGGGCCGGCGGGGTGCTGTACATAGGTTCCTGAAAACATCATAGCACACTGCCTCAGGGGGCGTCCCGAGGCCGGGTGTCACCCGCATGCGCGGCCATCTGACTGATGCCTGACGGCGGCCATCTTAGTGATGGACGCCCGCAGAGAGAGGAGGGGACGTTCACCCGGTGGGATGAGGTGTGCCGCCGGGTCCCCTCCTCTCTCTTTGGCACTGTTGAACTCTCTGTCCATGACCCAGTGCCTGACTTTTTAGAGAGGGTGACACCAAAATGACTGCCAGTCATTTTGGTGTCACCCCTGCAATGATGTCACCCGGGTGCAGGCCGCACCCCCCTTGTGAGGCCACTGCCCTGCCTCATTACTCCTCTCAAGAACCCTCAGCCCTGATGCAAGCCGCAGGAGGAGTTATACAAATATCAGAATGCCTCGATGGGTGGCTGTCAGTCTGGGGGCATGGGCATTCCTAAGCAGGCTGTATTTGCACCACATGTGATGCTGAACCTCTATGATTGAAAGAACTGGGATCCAATGAATCAAAGGCACAGGGACAGTCAAGCTGGGGGAAGGAAAGAGTTGGAGGATGCTGGACGTCCTCCAGCCAGGAAATGAGGCGGCTCTATCTGACTTTTTGCAGCTTCTAATGCACATTGTGAGAAGCTCCCAGTGTACAGTGACATCAGGAGAGGAGCCGGTACAACTACGCAAGACTGAAGGGGAGGACGGAGGTCAGATAGAAGACTGAAGGAAGGACGGAGGTCAGATAGAAGACTGAAGGAAGGACGGAGGTCAGATAGAAGACTGAAGGAAGGACGGAGGTCAGATAGAAGACTGAAGGAAGGACGGAGGTCAGATAGAAGACTGAAGGAAGGACGGAGGTCAGATAGAAGACTGAAGGAAGGACGGAGGTCAGATAGAAGACTGAAGGAAGGACGGAGGTCAGATAGAAGACTGAAGGAAGGACGGAGGTCAGATAGAAGACTGAAGGAAGGACGGAGGTCAGATAGAAGACTGAAGGAAGGACGGAGGTCAGATAGAAGACTGAAGGAAGGACGGAGGTCAGATAGAAGACTGAAGGAAGGACGGAGGTCAGATAGAAGACTGAAGGAAGGACGGAGGTCAGATAGAAGACTGAAGGAAGGACGGAGGTCAGATAGAAGACTGAAGGAAGGACGGAGGTCAGATAGAAGACTGAAGGAAGGACGGAGGTCAGATAGAAGACTGAAGGAAGGACGGAGGTCAGATAGAAGACTGAAGGAAGGACGGAGGTCAGATAGAAGACTGAAGGAAGGACGGAGGTCAGATAGAAGACTGAAGGAAGGACGGAGGTCAGATAGAAGACTGAAGGAAGGACGGAGGTCAGATAGAAGACTGAAGGAAGGACGGAGGTCAGATAGAAGACTGAAGGGAAGGACGGAGGTCAGACAGAAGACTGAAGGGAAGGATGGAGGTCAGATTTACACTGATGTAGTTCCAGTTTAAAGCAGAACTCCATTCAAAAATATTTAAGAAATGAGCAGCCCATCGAAAGATAAAAAAGTAGTTTCTGCTGCAGTACCTGCATTGAATCCAGAGCCTCCCTCGCAGTTCTTCATGTCCGCCACTAGGTGTCATCAGTCTTCCGAGTTGAATGACATCCAGCGCCATACAAATACCCGATGCAGCACTTTGGATTTCCTCTCACTTCCTGTTGTGTCTCCAGCACAGGAAATAAAAGGAAATCTTCTCCAATGTGACACAGACAGCAAAGAATGGCCGAGGTTTTAACCCTTCCCCTACTCTCTCCAAATCTAAAAAAACAATGTTAGCTTTCCATACACTTGTACTTGTATAGCGGGGGAGAGGAAGGATTTGTATGGCAGTGAATGATTAGGGGGAACGTATGTTTTTCCTGAAATGGTGACATTTCTGTATTTCCCCCGAAACAGGTAAAATGGGACAAAGTTCCTGTCCGGCGGATGAATTTCTCTGCGGAAACGGGAAATGCATTCCGAGCACCTGGAAGTGTAACGCCATGGACGAGTGCGGGGATAACTCGGACGAACGCAACTGCACGCCGCCATCCACGGAGATCCGCACCAGCCTCTGCCCCCCGGGGACCTTCCCTTGTAACGCGGCGCACTCCACGCAGTGCATGTCCAATGAGCTGCGCTGCAACTCCGTGAAGGACTGCCTCAGCGGGGCCGACGAGGACAACTGCCCAGAGCTGTCGTGCGGCGGGAAGCTCAGCAATTTCTACGGCTCCTTCGCCTCGCCGGACTTCTTCCGGGCCGACCGCGGGCGCTCGGAGCTGCAGTGCGCGTGGTACGTGGACACGGAGGACAACCGCCACGTCATCCTGCAAATGGACCTGCAGCTGGGGTACAGCGACTTCGTGAGGGTGTACGAGGGCATCGGCGAGAGGAGCGACAAACTCCTCCAAACCCTCTCCTTCCGAAACAACCGCCACACGGTCAGCGCCGAGTCCGCCAACGGCCAGCTCACGCTGACGTACCACGCGCGCTCGAAGAGCATGGGCCACGGGTTCAACGCCACCTACCAAGTCAAGGGCTACTGCCTCCCCTGGGAGCACCCGTGCGGAATGGACGACGTGTGCTACTCGGACAGCCAGAACTGCGACGGGTGGTGGCACTGCCCCAACGGCAAGGACGAGGAGAGCTGCCCGGCCTGCCAAAGCACCGAGTTCCCCTGCGAGGGGGGGAGCGGCTTGTGCTACTCCTACCTGGACCGCTGCAATAACCAAAAAAACTGCCCGGACGGCTCGGACGAGAAAAACTGCTTCACGTGCCAGCCGGGCAACTTCCACTGCGGCACCAACCTGTGCATCTTCGAGACCTGGCGCTGCGATGGGCAAGAGGATTGCCAGGACGGAAGCGACGAGCAGAACTGCCTGGTCATCGTGCCGAGGAAGGTCATCACGGCGGCGCTGATCGGCAGCCTGGTGTGCGGCCTGCTGCTGGTGGTCGCCTTGGGGTGCGCGTTCAAGCTCTACTCGCTGAGAAGCCGGGAATACAGGTGAGCCGGCGTGTGTACCTTCTTTACCTGGCGGGCTTGTGAATAAGGGCACTTTATGGCCAAACGTCGGTGGCCATCTGACCATCACACCTAGATTACCTTGATGGACATCCCGATCTAAAACCATGGCCGTGACTGTGGAGGCGGCCTCCACCCTTCTGAAAAAGGCTTCCACAAGATTTTGGGGATTGTTGGTGGGAATTTGTCCCATTTGTGAGGTCAGGTACTGGTGATGGATGAGAAGACCCGTCTGGAAAATTGGTGTTCCAATTCATCCCAATGGTGTTCAGTAGGGTTGAGGTCAGAGCTCTGTGCAGGCCCAGAAAACCCTCTGTTGTTGCTACTTTCTGTATTCCAGTATATTTATATCCAAAACCGTGTTTTATAGATACCCTGTTTCCCCGAAAATAAGACCTACCCCGAAAATAAGACCTACCCCGAAAATAAGACCTACCCCGAAAATAAGACCTACCCCGAAAATAAGACCTACTCCGAAAATAAGACCTACCCCGAAAATAAGACAACCTGCCGGTGGCCATCTTGGTGATGGACGCCGGCAGAGAGAGGAGGGGACAGTCACCTGGCCGCACCCCCCGCACCTCCTCTTGTGACGCCACTGCCTAGTACTATTTTGGGGAATTGCTAAAATATAAGACCTACCCGGAAAATAAGACCTAGTTGTGACCATTCCCAGGGCCGGTGGTGGCATAAGGGGGAACTTGAAGACCCGCGGGAGAGAATCAGCGGTGCCAACAAAGCCGGCGCTAGAGGAAGCGAGGCGGCAGCGGAGGGAGCAGAGCCGCATAAGCCGATGCTTCCTCTATAGCGCCGGTTCGCGTCACAGGCGGAGTGATACCAAATGCACCCCGCCTGTGAGGAATCCATAGTGAAAGCGCGCTTCGCTCATTCTGGCCAGCGATCAGAGCCGTCTTTAATATTGATTGGACCCTGGGCAAACATTTTCTTGGGTCCCCTGCCACACCTTGCCCCGCCATGCAATATTGCCCGCTATATGCTGGCAGCACAGAGTCGCGCTGCAGCTGGGAAACATCCCGACACTATTGTCAGGATCCACCCCGCTACCTGATTGATAGCTGACTCTGCCTCTCTGGATCCAGAGCCAGCTGTGCCAGCCCCCTCCCCAGTGCTGAAGAGGCGGCCGGTGCAGACACAGCATTAGCACTAGTTTATGGTTTACAGGGCCCATCAGCAATGACTGGGCCCTGGGCAGCTGCCCCTTTTGCCCCGCCTTAAAGACAGCCCTGCCAGCGATTGGTTAGCAAATTGCTCTTGGAAAGGTACGTCGCCCTGATTGCCCTGATCACCCTATTCTTGTACATGAAGAAGGGAGGATTGTTGTACATAAAAAAAAAAAAATAAGACCTACCCTGAAAATAAGACCTAGTGTGTTTTTTTGAGCCCCCAAAAAATATAAGAAAGTGTCTTATTTTCGGGGAAACACGGTATTTGGATGCAGTGTGAAAGGGTTAGAACCTCTGTCCTATTTAATTGTTGTCTATGGCCCTCCTTGGGAGAGGTTCCCCCTATCTTTCTTGATGATCATGGTCATCCAAGACTGACAGTGATGGGAAGCCCAGCACTTTACTATTCCTGGTATGTGAGGGTGCCTAGGTGCTCCTTTACCTTAGCAGAGCTCTTCCTGGTATGTGAGGGTGCCTAGGTGCTCCTTTACCTTAGCAGAGCTCTTCCTGGTATGTGAGGGTGCCTAGGTGCTCCTGTTCCTTAGCAGAGCTCTTCCTGGTATGTGAGGGTGCCTAGGTGCTCCTGTACCTTAGCAGAGCTCTTCCTGGTATGTGAGGGTGCCTAGGTGCTCCTGTACCTTAGCAGAGAGACTGTGTCCCCTCCACGTATAACTAATAAACTAATTTCTTCTTTAGGGCTTTCGAAACTCAGATGACCCGCTTGGAGGCGGAGTTTGTCAGACGTGAGGCTCCTCCTTCTTATGGGCAACTTATTGCTCAGGGGCTTATCCCGCCTGTGGAGGACTTTCCAGCTTTCAGCGACTCCCAAGTATGTAAATCTGTCTGTCTGTCTCTGTCTCTCTGTCTGTCTCTGTCTGTCTGTCTCTCTCTGTCTGTCTCTGTCTATCTCTGTGTCTGTCTGTCTGTCTCTGTCTGTCTGTCTCTGTCTGTCTGTCTGTCTCTGTCT